TATATATATATATATAGTTGTGATGATTGAATCAGAGTACTTAGCATGTCTGTCATCCAAATACTTACCATTTCTTTGTAGTGATAGCATTCAGAATCCTCTCTTCCAGCTATATTGCAATGCATCATTATTAACTCTAACCCCCTACTGAGCACCAGGACTTTATTCTTCCTACCTAACTGCAACTTTGTGTCTTTACTCTCTCTTAACTGATGAGTAGTTAAATGAGGAGTCTGGGTTATTGGTTATATAAGAGGCTGGTTGTTGGTTGTTGGGTTAAAAAAAAAAGTGTTTATTAGAACCCTCCTTTGCAGCACTGAAGAGTAGAATTTTACTGTGGCATAGTAGTGATCAAAGGAAAGGTAGGGAGATGGCAAGACTGGAGGGCGGACTCTCAGCTTCTTTCAAGATTCACTGAAGTCTGCTATATACTGCAATACTACATGCAAAATAAGTATTTTATGGCACTATCATTTAAATAAGACATGCCTGCTTAAATGAGATAATTGACTAGGTTCTCTTTTAAAATAAGGCTGTTTTAATGCAAATAGCACATAATAAAACTAACCACAAAGAAGGCAAGAAAGCCCCCAAAAAGTTTCAGATATATTTGTTGTAAATGTAATTATACATGGACATTTTATGATTTGCATGAATATTCTATCTGCTAATTAAAGTCATATGTTTTTATGTAAGCTTAGTTATAACTTATTATAGTCACACAAACAATGGAAAATGATTTAATGAACAGTTTTAGTTGGTAAAGAGATCATTGTCCGAATATTTCCCTTTGAGCAATATACATTTTACATTATTTTCTAAAACTTTTTGAAAATTATTGTTTCTAAGATAAGTGTTACCATATTTCTTAACAGAATAAAAGCATTGGTGAATTCTTCGACCAGTTTTAATATGTATCTTTTTTTAAAAAACACTTCTAATTAACTACTATATAATAAAATGTCCAGGTGTCACCATGAGAAGATTTTTTTGTTTCTTCCTTGTTTGACTTTTTTATTTCACATGTTTTTATTGGGTCATATAACACCTAGTAGAATGAAAATTGACCGAGTAATCAGGAGACCTCTGTTCTATTTCTGGCTCTGCCACTGAACTTGTTTTGTGACATTAGGTAAGTCACTTGAACTCTATGTGCCTCTATTATTCATTATGAAAAATTAATGAATGAATTGAAAAGAATTCTTAACATTTTGAATTCAAATACTATTAAAACCATTGCATCAATTCCATGTAAAGTAATGCAAGATACAGAAGAATATTAGGTGGAGAAAGAAGCTTTATTTATGCAGTTTTTATGTTTTCAACAAAAAAATACAGTGTTTTCTTAGAGATGGAACATATCATAAACACATATTTTATCTATTTATGCCAGTTTCATTTTAACATGTGAGGAAGCCATTTTAGTAATATAGTAGATGTAGACAAAGGGAAGTTTTCGATGTAAAAAATAATATCACATGATACAATTCAGCATCTTCCTGTTATTAAGGTATATGTGATTTCCCTACCTTATCTTTGAGAAATAGGTAGAGGAATAGAAAAGAAAATATGATGTATATAATTTAAATGCATCTGGGTACATTTCAGGAAGATCTGAGTATTTTTCCTACTGGTCATTCATATTAGCGGTCTTCGTTTTGTAATATAATTGTGATGAGATTTAGTGTCTGATTTTGAATAGGGGGAAAATGTGCTCATTTGAAAATGACATTATATTTCAAAGTGTATCATTCCTTTTCCAGTTCTCTGTAATATATACTAGGATTTCTGTCTTATTCTTAAAAAGATAAATTTTGGTCATCTAAGCAACTTTCTTATAATAGAAGGTTTTAATTTTCTCATATTCATAAAACAGATAAATTTGTTATAGGAAATAATTCTCAAGAACTATAATTTCAGTATATTAGTATTCCAATTATATTTTAGTTCAATATGCTTTTTTATAAGTCACTCAAAAACCATGATACAACCATTTACTAATTGAATGCAATCTGTTGTGAGAATTTTGTGATATCCAATTCAAAGCTAAGTGAGTAATTAAAATTGGAGATTTAAATTTTGTGCAGTGTTGCTCATCTGTGTCGTTCCTACTGACATTAACTCACTAATATCTTTGGAAGAAACTTTTTTCTTAGATGCTGAATTTACCAGACATTTTCCCACTTTCAAATAACTGTGTAAAATATTATCTGGACTTCTTCACTAGCAGTGGGGAAGAAGTGTTTCTAAAACATACCGTCTCTATTACAGTAGATGTTGGTCTTGGATAGATAAATTTTAATAGAACCTCAGTGACCTATAAGTGCTGTTTGTAAGAATTTTCTGAATAAATAGGCATTAGAAGAAAATATGATTGAAGAAAATTTGATCAAATTGATTAAATTTGATCAATTTATCTAAATTGAAGGTTAATTGAATTTATAATGTTGAAAAAAGCTACAATATATTGCAATATATTATAGCCACTATTCTTCTGAATTGTATTATATTTATTATGTCATAATATTTTTATGATTACACTTTGCTGTATTGAAATACTTCAGTGAAATGTTGGATTGATGTCCATATTTTATTTTTGTGTGTGCACTGGTTAATTTGGGAATCATAAAAGGTATTAGAAGTGTGTTGAAACTATGTTTATTGATTTTTTTGATGATAACAATTAAAATCTTTTCTTTTGATGGTTAAAAATCCTAAAAGCATTTTCACAGATTTTAAATTGACTCAGTCATGTTTTGACCCATGCGGACATACAAGTACGTTGTTTTTACTAACGATATCTTTCTTCAGCAGCAGTGTTTCTGTTTGACTGTACATAAATAATACACTCTTTTGAATCCCCTTTATTTCTTCACTAACTTCATTTTTCTGATTCTGCTAACCTATAGTAACAACCAGATTGCCATCAGTTCTTTTTTTTGTTTGTTTGTTTTTTTAATGGTAAATATTATATCTTCCCTACAACTGTACACAGGATTTTTTCTCAAAATGAGTTGATGCCCTTTTCTTCAGTGTCACTTTTACCTTTTGAGTACATCCACTCACACCCATCTCCTTTGTCTATGTCTGTCCATTAACCGATGTGATTACAGAAGAAGTGGAATCCTCAAGGAGAAGATATGCAGGTCTGTCTCCTCTTCTGCTTTTCTTTGTTGTGTTTTCATTTATCTAACTCGTTCTAGAAATTTTCTACCATTTTTATTCATCTCATAATTTTTCATTCCTCTCTAACAAAATATTAAATCTTACAGGCATTTTTATTTAGATATTTGAATATTCAGCTTTTACCAACTATTGCTCCAATTAGATGGATAAAATAAAATGATGAGTTTTTATGTAATATGTGTACATATGTAATGTTTCCATAACTGAATAACTAACTACAGATATTCTCTCTCTCACTCGCTCTCTCTC